ATATATATATATATATATATATATATATATATATATATATATATATATATATATATATATATATATATATATATATATATATATATATATATATATATATATATATGCTGATAACCACAAGGAAAGAAGAAAACACGAAGTTCCCAAGCGCTTTCGTGTAATTCACATCTTCAGGGGTGAGTACAGACTAGAGAGAGTAATACAAATCAAGGTGTATATATACAGAGGAGGGTGAGACCAGGTCCACAATGGTCAGGTATTAGGTAATGACCCTACTAATCTTTAAATAGCACACAACGGTTGGTGGTCAGGTCAGATGGTCAAGTGACCCGGCCTTCTCACCTGATCACAAATCTTCTTAATTACAAAATTGTCCAGCTTGTACATGCCGTTACTCAAATTCATGTTGGATGCTTCGGTATGTTTAATAAGACTAGATTCTATGATGTTCCTACTATCAATTGAATTACATGGTAATATTGAGGAGGCATTATCCCAGTCAATGCAATGCTTGTTATCCCTCAGTGATTTACTTGCATATATATATATATATATATATATATATATATATATATATATATATATATATATATATATATATATATATATATATATATATATATATATATATATATTGATTGTGTGTAGAAGTTCGCATGCTTTATTAGGCTAATGAAATATTTATATATATATATATATATATATATCTATATATATCTATATATATCAATCTCAGAATCAAACAACATAAGTACAATATCAGAACAGCATCTGAAAGCAGTGCCTTGTTCGTTCATGTTAGGAATAATAATCATCCCATTGCTTGGAAAAAAAGCTTGGAAGTATTCAAATCATCTTGTGTCACAGAAAGACTTCTGGTTGAAGCTAGTTTGATTAAGGAATTAAAATCAATAAGCCTTAGTGATGGTCAGTTCAAAACTGATTTTATGTTACATAAATTTATTTGTCAGTAGCCCAAGGTTAAAAATGCTTTGAAAACCTTTGATCTAGATGTATGATAGTTATTTAGTGGGTCCCTTATTTTTTGACCTGACCTGACTAGTCACGTCACTTCCCTTCTCTTAAGCTTCTCTACGCGTGTGTTGGTGTGGGGATTAGTGGATGACATCATTATGACCTGACCTCATGTTTTTAAGGTCACCCTGTATATTTAAGCCTCTCTCTGTCCATGTAATCCAGTGGCTTCTGAAGATGTCTTGAATAAAGACGAAAGCTAAGGTGCTCCGTTGTTTCCCTTTTGCCGTGTGTTTTTATCAAGATATATATATATATATATATATATATGTAACCGGTCGGAATTACTGGACCTTTAATTTCTCACTTGATTTGGGGTTTATTAATTATTAGATGGTCATTGCAGTGGAAGCGCCCCTTTGAGAAAAATCCCCAACCAGCACAAGAACACTTAAATTTACTAACAAAATGAATTTCCGTGACCCGTGGAAGGATAGCGTCTGTGACTGCGATGAATGAGACACACTGTAAAATTTAGACACTTATATTCCCTCCAACACTACAGACACAATCAAATAATGGTACACCAACATATGCTCACCTCTTAACCTGAACTTAAAACACTACTCTGGGGAATAAGAGTTAGACATGATATTAAAATTATTAGAAACTCAGACAATGCCTCATTAGACAACAATAAATTCAAGTATTAAGAAATGTTGCTTGCACACATGAAACAGGCCTTCAGGGCTTTCAACAAAATAATATCAATCACTGAGGATATGGTATAAAAAAATAAGAAATTATTAATTCCACCATGAATAGGCCTAAAGGGCACTCAATAGAATTATGTTACACCACCAGATGCAGGCCTTAAGGGTTTCAACAAAATAATATCAATCACTGAGAAAATGGTATTAAAAAAATAAGATATTAATAACTCTACAATGAATAGGCCTTCAGGGCACTCAACAAAATTATATTACCCCAACAGATACACACCTCCTAACCTAACTTAAACACTACTCTGGGGAACAAAGGTTATACCTGAGATTGAAATTATAAAGAAATATTAAATGCATTAAAGGAACTAAATCACAGTATCACTTACAACATAAGGGAGAAAACTCATCTGGAAAACAGTTCCCTCATTCTCTGGTTTCAATTAGTGACACAAACATTAAAAACAATACTATCACAATTGTTTAAGAAATATTAATTACACACAGCAAGACAATATCAGTAACTGAAAAAATATTATCACTAGATTAAGAAGTTACCGAGTCCACCAATACCCGTAAACACATGCTCCCTAACCTAACACATAGATTCCACCTGCACTCCGTAGTTTTTTAAGGCACAACCAACAGGCACCCAACAGGCACCCGTAGTTTAAGGCCCAAGCCAGCCTTTCTCGACCTTGGAAATGTACCTCTAAGTTCCACTGGACTCTTGGTCCCAGTGTGTGACCCTGTATCACTCAGCTGGCTTCACTTTACCCCCAGTACATCCCTGAAACGGAAGGAAGTATGCCAATCAGACCTTGTACAGTTGAGAGAAGCTTTAGCCTCCCGTTTGCAAAAGGTTTTCACTAAGCTGCTTGAATATATGTGGTATTGTGAGCCGAGGTAGAGGAGAGCTGATGACCCCAAACGATCGTCACGTCGTTAGTTGGGCACCCAGACGGCTAGGTTCACTCCAACTCTCACCATACTCAACAGGTGGCTCAAACCCAGGTCAGTGGACGGTCATACAGCTCGTTTCACCATTCGTCTCATACCGCCAGCGGACGTCATCATACGGCGTGGGGTCTACAGAACCTTCATCTGATGTTAAATATATTAAGGAACCAAGTCACGCGATCCGTCTCTCCTGGGTACAGCACAGAGGTGGTCCTTGACCTCTCTCACAACTCCCCAGCCACGCTTGCTCACTGGTTCACGCTTTTCAGGAGTGACTTTTTTACCAGACGATTAACAGCTTAATTAGGACGTACTCAACATTTTCAGACCGGGAAACGATCTATAATAATTTCAAATTCAATAATAGTCCCTTAACTTCATGAGTCGCATCATTATTAATTCGGTAAACTACATTCAATATCGTATAGGCTAGTTCCAAAAGCTCTCACTACGTGCAGGAGCGCTCTTTTCCCTCAGACTACCTTGAAAACAGTCTCTCCCATGGCGTAGCGTTTGATATCACACTGAAATTTCTGAATATTACATATATATATACATATATATATATATATATATATATATATATATATATATATATATATATATATATATATATATATATATATATATATATATATATATTCAACGACCTCACCAGCCAGGACTCGAAACCTAGACCTTATGCGTGTGACCAGGGAACGCTACCGGCCATGCCACAAGGACACTAAAAGCAATCCTAGGCTATGTTATATTTTACACAAAGCCTGTTCATCGAGCTGATGGTGCCGTGATCCTCCCATATGGGATTGCCCGTGCCACTTATGTGGTGGGAGTAGCATTTTACCGAATCCAGCTGGTATGTAATATGAGGAACCATATATACATCATTTTATTCCATATAACACGCGGACTTGAACATATAATCAACTACCTCACCAGCCAGGAATCGAACCCTAGACCTTATGCGTGTGACCAGGGAACGCTACCGACCATGGCACATAAGTGGCATGGGCAATTCCCAATGGGAGGTTCACGGCGCTATCAGCTCGATGAACAGGCTTTGTGTGAAATATAACATAGACTAGGATTGCATTTAGTGTCCTTGTGGCATGGTCGGTAGCGTTCCCTGGTCACACGCATAAGGTCTAGGTTTCGAGTCCTGGCTGGTCAGGTCGTTGATTATATGTTGTATATAATGTAGATCCACAATGAAAACGTGGATAAGATAAATCTTGATAAAATTCCACAGGAAAGGGGAAACAATGGGGCACCTTAGCTTTCGTCTTTATTCAAGACATCTTCAGAGGCAACTGAATTACAAGCACCGAGAGAGGCTTAAGAACATAGGGTAACCTTACTAAACATGAGATCAGGTCATAAATACGACATCCACTAATCAGCACACCAACACCATCACAAACACACAAAGGAGCTAAAGAGAGAGGGCGACGTAACTGGTCATATTAAGTCAGGTAAAAAATATGAGACCCACTAATCATCTATCCTACTTCTAACTCGAATGCTTTCAAAGCATTTTTAACCTTGGGCCATTGACAAGTAAATTTGAGTAACATTTTATCAATTTTGTACTGACCATCACTAAGGTTTATAGAATTCAATTCCCTAATCAAACTAGCTTCAACCAGAAGTCTTTCTGTGACACATGATGATTTATACACTTCTAAGCTGTTTTCCCAATCTATGGGATGATTATTGTTCATAACATGGACGAACAGTTCATGTAGTGTTTATGACCTGACCTCATATTTAGTAAGGTCACCCTGTGTTCTTAAGCCCCTCTCGGTCCTTGTATTTCAGTTGCCTCTGAAGATGTCTTGAATAAAGACGAAAGCTAAGGTGCTCCATTGTTTCCCTTTTCCTGAGTGATTTTATCAAGGATATATACAGCTGCAGGTTTTGCACTTATTAATTTACCATAAGAAAAATAGTCCTGTACTATGTGAACAACTCGTTACATGAAATCTCTGAAGTTTTCGGTATTTTCTTGCACGAATTCACAAACAGCCTATTAGCGATCGTGTGTCTAAAGATGGCATATATATATATATATATATATATATATATATATATATATATATATATATATATATATATATATATATATATATATATATATATATATATATATATATATATATATATATATTTATATATATAATAGTTTGTATCTATTCCTTTGTCATTTTGTTTCATTTACGGCGAGAAGGAGAACACCATGAGTTTTAGATTGTTCACACCAGTAGTATACAGTACTATGGTTAAACTCAGTAGTAAGATAAAGGTTAACAATAGTAACAGCATGAGATGCCTTTGTTTACTTACCATCTGGTGTTGGTAACAGGAGGACTCCTCCACACAACCCAGCAGCCACCAACAACACCAGGGACGTCACTACCATCACCGCCTCTCTAATATAACTGGAAGTAAAGTACACAAATGTAGGGATAACAATTTTGGTTTTGTAAATACATGAGCATCTCGTTTTATGCTATTTTTTTTGTATATCCATTATGTACTGTGTTGCTTATGTATGCGGTCGCTTATTTTTTTCTGGGTTCAAAATAGTCTGCCAAATATCCGTTAATCATTAACGCAGTAATTTTTTGTGCTGTTTCCCATTCTTATTTATTTTATTTTTTAATTATTATTATAAATTATTTAAGATACACTACAAACGGCAAGCAACGTCTACATTAGAATTAGACAGGTTACGGGATGACAGGCAAATTTTTTTGTGAACTAGTAAAAATCATTTTGTAATATAATTAAGCTTAATAACTTTTTGATAACACATACAAACACACACACACCTCTTTACCTAAACCAAAGGCAGAAGAGTAAGTCAAGTCTAGAATTTCAGGATTAAAATAAATTCAACAAAAATTTATTTAAATTTATTTAATAATAAACAGAAATATTTAACGTCAAAATCTTCATCTTCCTAAAATAGTGAATACAGGATTAGTTCCAACACAGAGGGAACAGAAGAAGGACATCCAGAACATTTTTTAACACATTGTCACTGACACATTGTAGTGACTGTTACAGCTGCAGGTCTCGCACTTATTAATTTACCCTAAGAAAAATAGTCCTGTACTATGTGAACAACTCGTTACATGAAATCTCTGAAGTTTCGGTATCTAAAAATGGAATATATATATATATATATATATATATATATATATATATATATATATATATATATATATATATATATATATATATATATATATATATATATATATATATATATATATATATATATATGCAAGTAGGTGCGCGTGATCTAGGTATATGCTGATAACCACAAGGAAAGAAGAAAACACGAAGTTCCCAAGCGCTTTCGTGTAATTCACATCTTCACGGGTGAGTACAGACTAAAGAGGAGTACAAAACAAGGTGTATATATACAGAGGAGGGTGAGACCAGGTCCACAATGGTCAGGTACTAATCTTTAAATAGCATGGCAACGGTCGGTAGTCAGGTCAGAGGGTAAGGTGACCCAACCTTCTCACCTGGTTACAAATCTTCTTAATTACAAAATTGTCCAGTTTGTACATGCCATTACTCAAATTCATGTTGAATGCTTCTGTATGTTTAATGCGACTAGATTCTATGATGTTCCTACTATCAATTGAATTACAAGGTAATATTGAGGAGGCATTATCCCAGTCAATGCAATGCTTGTTATCCCTCAAATGAACAAACAGAGCATTGGATTCCTTGTGGTTATCAGCATATATATATATATATATATATATATATATATATATATATATATATATATATATATATATATATATATATATATATATATATATATATATATATATTCATGTAGATCACAATGAAAGAAAACGTTTTTTAAGATCACCCTGTATGTTAAGCCTCTCTCTGTCCATGTAATCAGTTGCCTCTGAAGATGTCTTAGACAAAGACGAAAACAAAAGGTGCTCCGTTGTTTCCTTTTCCCGTGTGATTTTATCAAGATATATATATATATATATATATATATATATATATATATATATATATATATATATATATATATATATATATATATATATATATATATATATAACGATGCCACTAGATTATCTTGTTGTCGAGGCTTGGGGATCACCAGCCAGCTTTGCTCTCCTCAGAATTTTTCTGAGTTGTTAAACAATCCACAGTAGTCAATGTGTTGTGCATCATTGTAATAAGTTGTAAGCAATTGGAGAAGAAATATTGCCCGACCCTCTTGTTCTGCATGTGATGGTCATAATTTAGGTTAAAAAAACGTGGTACAGAAGGTTCACAAACCATTGAGGTCATAGAGAACTTTGGCTCCATAATCGGAACGTCCAGTACGCGAAATGTTGAATATTTTGTAAGAGACTTGGGGTTGTAGGGCTTGGTTCTGACGTTACCATCCTGAAGCCAGCGGTGTATCCACCTATACACGGTGGACACGCTGGTGTTGGTAACTCGAGCAACAGCACGTATGGACATGCCGCCCGCCCACAGTCGCACAAAATTAGCGCGCTCGCTCTCACCTGTTGGATGATACTTGCAGCGCGACTTCATTATATTTGTCTGTGAAGAATGAATGAAGTACAATGTCAGCCAAAGTCTTATGAATTCGTAAACAATATGGCAGATTTGAATACTTAAAATGCAATTGCTGTTCCAAATGATCAACATATATTACTGTAGTTTGTTACATGCTTAGGAAAACAGCATCGTGGCTTAACAATTGTCTATATACTTATGATTGTCCTGTTTCCCTCACCTTCACATACTTTCATATAATGGGCCACATAGTCTGTGCTCTGTGATGGAATTTGTATAAGTACTGCATATTCGGGCGGGAAACTATTTACTGTTAATTCATTAATATTGACAGTGAAATTTGTTGTGATAAACTACTCAAAGAGAGTGAATGTTTTTTTTTGATAGGTCAAGTATTTGTTTTTACACTAGACATAATTTTCCTAAATTATGAAAGATATTAATATTATGCGTTTTAAGAATTTAGAATATATCTCTTTCCTTAAACAGTAGCAAAGTCTTTGTAAACTCTCAAAGTGTGAAAACATGCACAGTGATTGATTGATTTGTTGATAATGACTATTTGACACCAGAAATAAAAATCACAAGTTTATTTATTTGTTTATTTATTTTTTTTACGGGGAATAGCTCACCCGGAAACAGGTCATCGATCCACAACGGGACCTAGAGAGCGAAAAAAATAAGTGTAAAAGAAAAAGAAATATGATATATATTATTTTAATCTACACCACGAAGATGCCGGAAAACCAGCATTTTGGAGTAAGGAAAGAAGGATGTACAATAACGGGCTATTCTAGTGTGACCGACATCCACAGAGAAATGGTGGGCACCGCTGGCACGATGAGTGTTACGAGCCCAAGGCCTTATCGGCGGTACACAGCATGCCAAATCCACCGAACATTGCCCATTAAAGTACTTGTAAAAGAGAGAGAGGGAAGCAATATTGCGGCGAAGAGAAATGGAAGAGAAATTATAAACCAAAGGAGGAGAGTTAAACTTGAAGCAACTGCTCAGTAGTGAAGTAGCTACGGCATCTGTACAGCATTCCTAGCTTCCGGGAGGCAGCTTTGGCAATGTTGTGGATGTATGGCTTCCATGACATATTAAAGAAATGGTGAGACCTAGCATTACTATTTTAGAATTTGGCAGAACGGTTGTGTAGTGAAATGTGATTGGTGGGAGATCATTTAATTTTGGAAGTGTAATTGGTAAATACTGTGTTTTATTACTGTTGAATTTAACCAAGTTTCTACCTCCCCATTCAAAGATGCTGCAGAGATGAGCATTGATAGGTAAAATGTTATTAGCTCTAGAAACAGATCTAGTGTGAGAATTAGGGGAAGGGAAAAAATGTGAAGAAAAGTGAAGAGTAGAATTATCAGCGTAAGAATGGATAGAATTAGTCGTAGTGTGAAGTAAATGATTGATAAAAAGAAGGAAGAGATTAGGTGAAAGAACAGAACCCTGTGGAACAGCACTATTGATAGAAAAAGAGCGAGAGATCGATCCCTCGACAACAACTGCCATAGATCGGTTCTCAATGAAGCTAGAAATTAGAGAACAAAGTGGGGGAGAAAAACCATAAGAGGGGAGTTTAGATGGCAAAGACTTGTGCCTACCCTGTCAAATGCTTTGGAGATGTCGAGGGCTACGACGAAAGTTTTCCCATAATCCCTAAGAGAGGATGACCAAAGATGGGTACAATAGGAGAGCAGATCACCAGTAGATCTCGCCTGGCGAAAGCCATACTGGTGATCCGACAAAAGAGAAAGGCGTTCAAGGTGACAGAAAATGAGAGGTTAAGACAGTTTTGAAAATCTTAGAGAGGGATGAAGTTAGGGCAATGGAGCGATAGTTAGAGGGATTGGAATGGTCACCCTTCTTCGGGATGGGTTGAACCGAAGCATGCTTCCACAAATGAAAACTTTGGGTTTTGAGGCAGAGGCGAGCAAGCACAGGAGCTAGAATTTCAGCACACTCCCTTACAATACGAGGGGTATTCCGTTCGGTCTATGCGCCTTACTCACATCCAACCTGGATAACACACCAGCAACCCTACGAGTGGAGATATAGGAAAGAGCATAGGTTCCGCAGGAGTTGGCTATAGAGTTATCATGTCGGAGGAAAGGATGAAAAGAGGAAGTACAGAAGTTATTACAGATGTTTTTGATTAACGACCACAAGGATTTACTAGAAGAAAAGTTAGTAAAGTCAGCGGTCTTTCTTATTTATAAAATTGCGCTTGGCCCTACGAAGAATAACTTTACAACGATTCCTAGAAGTAATGAAAGAGGAATGGGTAATAGGACAAGAAGATAGTTTCATAGCTTGATATGCCCTATCTCTCTTCCTGCGTGCACGAGAACAGGAGCGATCAAACCATGATTGTAAAATGAAACTTTTGGAAGAAGATGGGATAAATGCACTCATACCACCTTGTATAAGCCCATCAATGCTGTCAGCACATACCGAGGCGTCCCTAGTTGAAAAGCAACATTCATCCCAAGGAAAGTCAGAGAAGAATTCTCGCAAGGATTGTCAGTTTGCCCTCCGATAGTGCCATATTTGGCGTTTAGATGGAGTGGGGGAGGTGGTCGTGTCCAGTTTGATTTAATATAAATAAGATTGTGACCGGAAAACCCTAAGGAAGCAGAAACTGAGTATGAATAGTGTGTGGGGTTAGAGGTAAAACAAAGATCAAGAATGTTAGTATGTTGATGGTGTCGATCTGGAGCACGTGTAGAGTGTTTAATTATTTGTTCCAGATCATTAAGTAAGGAAAAATAGTACCACAGCTCCACCTGGGTCATCTCTTGCAGACCCAAGCCACTCTCTGTGATGTACATTGAAATCACCTAGTTAGAGGATCTCAGTGTTGGGGTGTGTGGATAGCAACGACTCGTAGCAAGAAGTGAGATAGTCAAAGAGTTCCAAATAGCTGGTTGAGATGGGAGACCAGTATAGGAGCATGTAAAAACATTGATGAGAATATTGACTGTTTGACTTTGTTATGTTGGGGAGAAGAATAATGAATATATGAACACACAATAGTAGGTTTCCTATAAATACTAACTAAAGGTGTTTACCTACTCTGTGGATCACACTGTCTAGGAATGATAATTTACAGTCACTTTTTAATTCCACAGGGAATTTCATGGAAGGGACCAAGTTGTTAAGTAGTGGTGGAAAACTTTTAAGTCCTCATTACATGGTCAAATATATATTATATCATCTACTGTACATATCTAAACCAAACTGTAGAAGATTGTAAAATATTACTTAGTAGTTACTTCTCAAAAAGTTTCAGAATAAAGTTGCTTAACACTGTCAGTAGTAACAATAAATAATCTTGTCTCATACCGAATATGTTAACATGAATTTGAGTAATGACATTTATTGTGCAATTGGATAATTTTGTCATTAAAAAGATTTTTAACCATGTGAAAGAGTTGGGAAACTACATAATGCCTTAAATATGGTGGACACCTGCTGTCCCTAGGGACATGATAGCATTCTCCTTTACTGTATATATTGGCCTTGTAATTAATTACAATGTACTCCTTAGTCCGTACCCAGCCCACAAGATGTCAATTATACGAAAGCGCTTGGGAACTTCGTGATTTCTTATTGCCAATGTGGTTATCGGCATATATATATATATATATATATATATATATATATATATATATATATATATATATATATATATATATATATATATATATATATATATATATATATATATATATATATGCTGATAACCACAAGGAAAGAAGAAAACACGAAGTTCCCAAGCGCTTTCGTGTAATTCACATCTTCAGGGGTGAGTACAATCTGTCCTCACCCCTGAAGATGTGAATTACACGAAAGCACTTGGGAACTTCGTGTTTTCTTCTTTCCTTGTGGTTATCAGCATATACCTGGATCAAGCGCAACTACATTGATTTACTTGCATATATATATATATATATATATATATATATATATATATATATATATATATATATATATATATATTTCCTTAGCCCAATAGCGGTTAGCGTTCCCCGGTCACAGTCATGGGCTCGTGGGCCGTGGGTTCGAATCCTGGTGGGTTGAGGTGTTGATTGTATGTAGAAGTCTGCGTGCTTTATTGGGCTAAAGAAATATATATGGATCCTCGTGTTTAGAAGCCGGATTTGGTAAAACGTTACTCTGACCACCTACGTGATACGGGTAGTCCCCATTAGAGGTTCACGGCGCCTTAAGCTCTTTGAACAGGCTTTGTGCGAAATATAACAAAGTCTAGGACTGCTTATAGTATCCTGGTGGTCCAGTGGTTAGCGTTCCCGGTCACAGTCGTGGGCCGTGGGTTCGAATCCTGGCGGGTTGAGGTGTTCATTGTGTATATATATATATATATATATATATATATATATATATATATATATATATAGGAGTCTGCAATATGCCGGTTGGCCTGTGCATGGCAGCTCCTGTCGAGAGTTACAACCACTCTCCATCATCCATGAACCTATCTAGCCTCCTTTTGAAATTTCCAGAGTTCCAGCAGTTACTACAAAGTTGGTAAGCTTGTTCCACTCGTCCACCACCCTATTTGTGAACCAGTTTCTTCCTATCTCCCTCCTAAACCTAACCTTATCCAACTTAAATCCGTTGCTCCGAGTCCTATCCTGCTCGGATATTATAAGAACTTTATCTATATCCCCTTTATTGATTCCTTTCACCGACTTAAATACTTCTATCATATCTCCCCGCACTCTTCGTCTTTCTAGGGAATGCAAGTTAAGTTTCTTTAACCTATCCTGATATGGAAGGTTTCTAAGTCCCGGAATCATTTTTGTCATTCTTCGCTGCACCGACTCTAGTGAAATTACATCCATTCTATAATAGGGGCACCAGAACTGAATCGCATAATCGAGGTGCGGCCTGACTAAGCGCAAGATATAGTTACAGCAGGCCTCACTCTTTTACTTACACTTCTAGATATAAAACCCAACACTCTGTTTGCCTTATTTCGAGAACATTAACGCGCTGTTTTCTAGGCCGTAGGTCGGAGCTTACTAAGTACTAGGTCTCTTTCACAAAATGACTTCTCTAGGTTGATGTTGTTAAGGCTGTATACATTATAAGTATTTGTTCTTCCAATATTAAGTACGCTGCACTTGCTGGTGTTGAATTTAATTTGCCATTTTTCAGACCACCCCTGCAGTTTATTTTGATCCTCCTGTAATGCATTTGCATCCTGCCCTGAATTAATTTGCCGCCCTATTTTGGTGTCATCCGCAAACTTGCTTATGTCACTGCTGATCCCAGTATCTAGATCGTTTATGTAGATTATGAACAAGAGTGGGCCTAGTACTGACCCTTGGGGAACCCCACTGGTTACACGGCCCCACTCAGATTTAACACCATCTACGCTGACCCTCTGCGTTATATCGGTGAGCCATGATTTTATCCAATTTAAAACTTTCCCCTCGATACCATGAGCCTTAATTTTTCTCAGAAGCCTCTAATGCGGTACTCTGTCAAATGCTTTGCTAAAGTCTAAGTAAATAACATCGTAATTTTCGTCATTATCTACTACCTCGAAGACTTTCCTAAAAAATGTCAGCAGATTTGTTAGACAAGATTTTCCCTTTGTAAACCCATGTTGAGAGTTGTAGATTAATTTGCTTTTCTCTAAATGCGATCGGATGCTATCTGCTATAATTGATTCAAGAAATTTCCCCACTACTGACGTCAAACTGATCGGCCGTTAATTTGACGCTGATGCTCTGTCTCCCTTTTTGAATATGGGTACTACATTTGCCTGTTTCCACAAGTCTGGCACAACTCCGGTGTCTAATGATTTTGTAAATATATTTACAAGGGGTCCGCTAATCTGTTCCCTACACTCTTTCCAGACTAGGGGAAAATTTCCTCGGCATCCGGCCTGGGGATTTTGTGTTCTTTTAGTTTGTGTATCTTCTTAAGAACATCCTCTTTTCTGATAGTGATATTCACATCTTCAGGGGTGAGTACAGACTAAGGAGAAATACTTGACAAGGCTTATATATACAGTAGAGGAGAGTGAGACCGTAGATGTCCACAATGGTCTGGTTATTAGGCAGTGACCCTACAAATCTTCATAAACACAGGAGCTGTCCGTTGTCAGGTCATAGGGTAAGGTGACCCAACCTTCTCACCTGGTTACAAATCTTCTTAATTACAAAATTATCCAGTTTGTACATACCATTACTCAAATTCATGTTGACGAATTCGGTATGTTAATGAGACTGGACTCTATAATGTTCCCACTGACAATTGAATTACAAGGTAGTATTGAGGAGGCATTATCCCAGTCAATGCAATGCTTATTATCTCTCATATGAATGAACAAGGCATTGGATTCCTGGCCTGTCCTAACACTATATTTATGCTGTTTAAGTTAGTTACAAGATCCTTACCTGTCTGGTCTAAGTAGAACATACTGTATTACATTCCTTGCAAGGAACATTGTAAATGCAGTCGCCTGCATTGTTGGGGGAGTTCTAGATTAATATTTGTTTTACAGTGCATGAGCTATTAAATGCCACATTAACGTTCCAGGTTTTCAGTTGTAAAGGAATTTGAGAAATTTTTTTGTGAAATGGTAATACTAAGAGATTCTTATGGTCATGGGTGGGCTTAGGGTCGGTTCTATAAAAAATTTCTTAGTAAAGTTAAGGCATTTGTCTATAAAAGACCTAAGGTACTTAAGGTTCAAGCCAATATTATAGATATATTTATATTCCTCATCAATGAATTCCGGACTCCAAATTCTTAGAGCACGTAAAAACATTGATGAAAATACTGACTGTTTGACTCTATTATGGTGGGCAGAATAATAATGAATGTATGAACACACATTAGTAGGTTTCCTATAAATACTGAACGTAAAGGTGTTACCTATTCTGTGGATCAGACAGTCTAGGAATGGTAATTTACAGTCATGCTCTAATTCCACAGTGAATTTGATCGAGGGGGCTAAGTTGTTAAGTTGTCGTAAAAAAGCTTTTAGGTCCTCATTACATGGCCAGACATATTACATCATCTGCATATCTAAACCAGACTGCTGAAGGTGGTAAAATATTGCTTAATAGTTTCTTCTCAAAGAATTCCATATATAAGTTGCTTAATCCTGGTGAAAGCGGATTACCCATTGTCATACAAAATTTTTGAGCATAACATTCTCCATTGAATTCAAATTTACAATCCTTAATACATAGTTTGATGAGTTCGATGAAGTCGTCTTTCGAGACGGGCAATGAAATATTGTCCAGGGAATCTGGGAGGAACTCCAGTAAATCATCAACTGGGACCTTTGTAAAGATTGCTATAACAACGAAACTGACCAGTTTAAAATCAGAATTAATGTGTAAGTTATTGAGTTTATCAACCAGATCCATATTATTCTTAATATGGATCTGCCCACCATAATAGAGTCAAACAGTCAGTATTTTCATCAATGTTTTTACGTGCCTTGAGAATTAGGTGGAATTATATATATATATATATATATATATATATATATATATATATATATATATAATATATATATATATATAAAATATATATATATATATATATATATATATATATATATATATATATATATATATATATATATATATATATATGTATATATATATATATACACGTGTTTGTGTATGTATGTGTGTGTTAGGAGTGTTATATATATATATATATATATATATATATATATATATATGTGTGTGTGTGTGTGTGTGTGTAAAGAAGGAAAACACAGAAACCAGACTCTTACAGACAAGGGTAGCGGAGAGATGCAGGTCGACTGATGTCACTAGAGGAAAGTAAGTATGGGTGAAGACTGAATCAAGAACTTCAGCACAGCTGGTTTTATTAGGGAAGTGAACAAAAGGCTATCATGATATTGGCTAACTCCATGAAAAGGAACCAGTTTCAGAAAGCACTGATTGGTCAACGGCAGAAGAGTATGCGACTGAGGATTTACCTCTCAATAGGTTACGATGAATAGTTCAGTGAGGCATTGTGTGTTATTGAGCACGATTGGTGGGGCGTTTTTTGCTATTAACACTAATTATTCCTTCCCATTCGATCATATATATATATATATATATATATATATATATATATATATATATATATATATATATATATATATATATATATATATATATATATATATATATATATATATATATATATTTATATATATATAGAAAGCAAAGAAGCATGTTTGTGTGTTTGATTGTTTGTAAGTCCGCACGAGAATCTCGGAAACTACTTTACCGATCTGTAGTGATGATGGATGTTGTTATATGTAGTGATGATGGATGGTGTTATATGTAGAGGTGGTGGTGACGGTGGTAGTGACAGTGGTAGTGGTGGTGATAGCGGCATGTTTGTGGTGATAGTGGTGGTGGTAGAGACTGGTTGATAGTAGTGGTAATGATGGTGGAGGTAATGATGGTGGTGGCAGTAGTGGTGGTTGTGATGATGGTGGTAGTAGTGATGGTAGTGATGGTAGTGTTATATGTAGTGATGATGGATGGTGTTATATGTAGTGATGATGGATGGTGTTATATGAAGTGATAATGGTTGCTGTTATATGTAGTGATGATGGGTGGTGTTATATGTAGTGATGATTAGACAATAAAATAATAACAGTTTAATGCTAAAAAAATATACTATGCTGTACCATTGTAGTGAAAAACATGGTGGAAATTACATACACCGTTAATGAACTATTGATGGAAGAAGAAGTTTTGAGGACTGAACAGTGAGACAATGTGGAGCCTCCCGGAGTGTGGCGTCCTACTGTGGCCTAGCGGATGAGCCGCCCGGAAGGAGCAGCTGACAGTCGGTCACAGGAAACAGATCAGGAAAGGGAATCCCGTCTTAATGCTCACAGAAAGGGAACAGCGGACAGTCGGTCACAGGAAACAGATTAGGAAAGATAATCCCGTCTTAATGCTCAGAGAGAGTGAACAGCGGACAGTCGGTCACAGGAAATAGATCAGGAAAGGGAATCCCTTCTTAATGCTGACAGATAGCAAACAGCAGAAAGGCTTTCTCTAGAAAATTATGAAGCGCATGAAATTCGTTTGAATGCTAATAGACAGAGAGCTGCGGGATCCAGAATTCTAAGAAAAAATACACAGTGGCATACACTTGCAAGAGCAGCATTTAACTATAACAATGAGATAGAATATGAAAAGTATCCCTCTGTTGTCATTGGCAACATGGATAAGACATGTGAACACTGCGGTGCAAAGAAGTATAAAGGAGAATCTGCTGGACTTTGCTGCTCTCATGGGAAAGTGATGGTGGATGGTGTTATATGTAGTGATGATGGATGATGTTATATGTAGTGATGATGGATGGTGTTATATGTGGTGATGATGGATGGTGTTATATGTAGTGATGATGCATGGTGTTATATGTAGTGATGATGGATGGTGTTATATGTAGTGATGATGGATGGTGTTATATGTAGTGATGATGGATGTTATATGTAGTGATGATGGATGTGTTATATGTAGTGATGATGGATGGTGTTATATGTAGTGATGATGGATGGTGTTATATGTAGTGATGATGGATGATGTTATATGTAGTGATGATGGATGGTGTTATATGTAGTGATGATGGATGGTGTTATATGTAGTGATGATGGATGGTGTTATATGTAGTGATGATGGATGGTGTTATATGTAGTGATGATCTATATATATAAAACAAAGAAGTCTGTCTGTTCACCTTTCTCTGGGATCAAACCCGGGACCGCTTACTGGCGAGGCGAGCATGCTTACTATTGCACCCCAGGTCGCCAATAAGCGCTACACCATTTGACACAGCTGAAAGAGAAACTTCGACCGAACATGATTGACAACTGTTTATGAGCAGAATTTCCTGATCCAGAACAAGATCAAGTTCTCTATGAGATTATCAAGAAGTAAATGATTCATGGGCCATATGTGGACCATTCAACAGACACTCGTCATGCATGAAAGATGGACGTTGCACCAAAAACTACCCAAAAGACCTGTTAAAGGATACTCAGAGTGGAGAAGATGGCTATCCTCAGTACAGGAGAAGAGCGCCAGGCGATGGAGGTTTTACAGCAGTGTTGCGATCTGGAACAGACAGTGAAATAACAGTAGACATCAAATGGGTGGTCCCCTACAATCCTCTTTTGAGTAAAGCATTCAATGCGCACATCAATGTGGAGTTCTGCAATTCAGTCAATTCCATCAAGTATGTCTGCAAATACGTCAACAGGCTCTGACCAAGCGATCTTTACATTGGAAAAGGATGGAAATGACACAGTTTCAGCAAGGCCGTTATATATGCAGCAATGAAGTTCTATGGAGAATTTTTAATTTTCCCATACACGAACGATGTCCAACGGTAGTTCATCTGGCTGTTCACCTGGAAAATGCACAAAGAGTTTACTTCACAGAAGAGTCCCTCCAAAATCAAATGGCAAATCCTGCTGATACGACCCTCACTGCATTCTTCAAGCTTTCACAGGAAGATGAGTTTGCTCCAATACTCCTGTATGTTGACGTACCCAAGTTCTACATATGGCAGGCTTCAATGAAAAAGTTCCAGAGAAGAGCTCAAGGATCCGATGTTGAAGGATGTCCAGGGATAAAGTCAGGCAATGCTTTGGGACGTGTCTACACGGTTCACCCCAGCAACTTTGAATGCTCCTGTTTGAGACTACTTTTGCACCACATCCGTGGCCCAGCATCATATGCAGCACTCAAGACAGTGAATGGACAAGTCTGCAGAACCTATCAGGAAGCGTGCAATCTCCTTGGCCTACTGGAAGATGATGGTAGCTGGAATGACACATAAGAAGAGGCAGCAGCTACTCAATCGCCAATGAGAATGAGGAACCTGTTTGCCATCATGATTGCTACATGTGGACTTTCCAACCCAAGCCAGCTCTGGGAAAACCACCAAGAAAGTCTTTCAGAGGATCTGCTTCATCAAACAAGAAGAGAAAATCCTGGTCAAGAGATTGAGTTCATCGATGACATGTTGAACAGGGCTCTGATCATGCTGGAAGACAAAGTGATGGAGAAATGCGGAAAAAACCTAACTGATTTTGGATTGCCTTCCCCAAACCGAGAAGAACCAGTAGCTGCTAACAGGGAGTTGCTCAGAGAGACAGACTACTCACTTGAAGTTCTGGTGAATTTTCTTGAAGAAAATGAGCCTCATCTGGTGCCTGATAAAAGCAAATGCTTATGAACGGATCTTGCAAGCGATACAAGCGGAGCACCTGATCAACCTTCTGTTGGCCAAAGTACGTCATCAGGGGAAAATTGCTCTTGCTGTGGCATCCTCAGGCATTGCTGCAACACTACTAGAAGGAGGACGTACTGCACACTTAACTTTTAAACTGCCTCTCAACCTCGCTCACAATGAGAGTCCAGTGTGCAACGTCAAAAAAGGATCGGCAAAGGCAAACTCTTAGAAAAATGCAGCCTCATAGTCTGGGATGAATGCACTATGTCTCACAAGTTAGCGTTTGAAGCATTGGACAGGACCTTGCAAGACATACGAGAAAATTACCATCTCATGGGTGGCATTACAATGGTCATTGCTGAAGACTTTCGCCACACCCTACCTGTCATTCCTCGAAGCACTCCAGCTGATGAACTGAATGCGTGCCTCAAGGCATCATACCTTTGGAGAAGTGTTCAGACACTTACCATATCCACAAACATTAGAGTACACCTACAAGGAGATCAGGATGCTGGACGGTTTGCAAACCTTCTACTAGGAATTCCAGACAGTGAGACCTCATTCAAATCTGTTGATACAGTAATCGATCAGGACTAAGCAGTCCAGTACCCTGCAGAATTCCTTAATTCTTTGGAGCCCGCTGGAATGCCTCCTCACCACCTCACTCTCAACATTGGAACTCCTATAATGCTCTTAAGAAATCTTGAACCACCAATCCTCTGCAATGGCACAAGACTGGTGGTAAAGAACATGATACCACAAGTACTGGAAGCTACAATACTGACAGGAAAAGCTAAAGGAGAGGACGTTTTTATACCAAGGATACCTCTCATCACCATTGACCTGCCATTTGAGTTCAAGCTACTTCAGTTCCCGGTTAAAGTGAGTCTTTCCATGACCATCTACAAAAGCCAGGGACAGTCCCTAAAGATGGTTGGCCTAAACTTGGTGTTTCCTTGCTTCTCTCATGGACAGTTCTATTTTGGATGCTCCAGAGTGGGAACTGGAAAAATTCTGTACACACTTGCTGCTAATGGCAAAACCAGAAATGTGGTCTACCTTAATGCACTACAGTGAGACAATGTGGAGCCTCCCGGGAGGTGGCGTCCTACCGTGGCCTAGCGAAAGAGCCGCCCAGAGGGCGGCGATTCCGTTAATTGTCAATATTTATATGAACAAGGGAGACCGGACAGACTTCGTCAACTACCGCGGGATCTCGCTGCTCTCCGTTGCTGGGAAGATTATCGCCCGAGTCCTCCTAAACAGACTCGTTCTGAGGCGGAAAACTTCCCCCCAGAATCCCAATGTGGCCTTAGGCCATCACGTGCACCACTGACATGATCTTTGCTGCCCGTCAAATACAGGAAAAGCGCAGCGAACAGCATCGTGACCTGTAGATGGCTTGCATCGACCCAACCAAGGCCTTCGACTCAGATAACAGGGAAGTCCTCTGGTGGACCCTCAGCCGTTTTGGCTGCCCAACAAAATTCATCGCCATTGTGAGATAAACCCACGATGGCACAAACGGCAGTGTCCTGCACAACGGCACCCAGTCTGAGTTCTTCCCC